GCTTTCTGACGTGGTTTTCAGTCGCTGCTCGCAGTATTCGGTACTTTCGTTGGCTCTGAGTGGTCGGTTGTCTCCGCTCAAGACACGTAGCGCAGATCCCTTCACACATGGCATCCCCCAGTCTACACCATCTTCACCTCAGACCACAATGCATTTCGAATTGCTTTCGTCGTTTCACTCTTTCTGAAGCTCCGAATAAACACAGCCAGTGAATTGTAAGGGCTATCAATTACTTAAGGGAATGAACGTCTTTCGAAGAAACTTTTAGGACTTTGGGATAATGGGTCCACTCCTCAAGCTCTTTGCCTAAGATCTACTTTCTTCTGTGTCATACTTGTTCTTGGGGTGGGGTCCTGGTCGGCAAAATTTTCGGATCTTTAGCACCGTTGTTTGGCTTTCGATTATTGAGTCCAAAGACCAGACATACAACGAATACTCTGAATTTGATTGCACCACCAAGAACTCTCCGTTACCCCTCCCGACAGCGATAAAAATCGTTCACTTCAGCGGGTATACTCAATTGCTGTGAGATCACAGACCAACTACAAGAATAAAATGGATTTTAAATGAAAGTTTAGGAGCAATGTACTTCGTCCTGTTTCGTGCCACAGCATTTGCCACACTACTGCTTGTTACCCAGGTAAGACTCTCAGCGATCAACGCAGTCCGAAGCTAATTAGAAACTAGAAGATTGGCGCTTTTGAACGAATATTAAGATTTTTCTAAATGACCACACATTCGAAAAATCGTCCCCATGTTCCGTTTGTTCCCCCAATGGCTTTTTTGGGCCATTCTCTTGAACGTGAGTTTCAACCTTCAAATGGCCATAAGTTCTTCAAAGTCGGTACATTGGGAGACGGTGTATACCGTTGAAATCAACAAGATCAGTGGTTTTAGCATGTGCTAGATTGTCTCCAAAGGAAAACCTTTTGATGCGAATTCGTTAAACATTCCTCCGCTTCGATTTGTTCTAAAAGCATGGGGTCTTCTTGGAGAATCGTTTCGCTTGCGCTTACCGGAACATGACGTATTCTACTTCAGTAAGAAATCTCGCTCCAGGATTCAGTTGTATGCGGTGCGTAGTCGCAGTGGCAGTTGAAGTCTGTCCTCCTTTGCCACTTAGCCACGCCTTGGCAGCTTCTAATTTTGTGAATGGTACTTGAGGTTACGACCCCTCCTCTTCCATTAACCAAATACGAGCCACCCCCCCCCCTTGTTCTTTGTGTAGTTTGTCCACCGAGGGTCGAAAAATGGAGTAGTGAGCTGTCGTATATACTGCAGAACTAACTTTTCCTACGGGGTGAATTTGACAAGCCGGCTGACTGACTGCTGATAAGCTGCATTCTACATATAAATCATTGGATTTGTGTGTCGGACTGTAGGTCTGCTAGAGCATCCATATGACTGCCTGCCAAATCGCCTGCTGCTGTGCTAAAGCCGCTATAAGCAAAATTTACGCCTAACCGAACTAGGAGTCAAGTTGATTTTTTGATATTGACCAAATGAAATGACATTGTGTGGTAGTACCCCATAACCGTATGTGAGAAAGCGAAACAGCCTTCAAACTTCCAACACTTGAAATATTGCATTATACATATCAGTCACCACAGAGATTTTGTCACATTCTGTTGATCCTAACGTGTCTGCCTTTACTTTGACAGCGTCATACTGTAGGCTTTAAATTTCCAAAAATTGCTACGACCCTCTCCCCTTCACCACCCTCGCCATCCTGGACGCTTTTGACCAGTTCACACACCTAACTGCACCAATTTTCCCTCGAAGACATCCGTGGAGCGCGGGGTATACACGTATAGTGAGACGACAAATTTTTTCTCGCTCCTTCAAACTACGCGCCCTAAACTCACTTCTACGATTACATTGAATACGACTCCCCCTTCTACGATGTCAACAAAATACGATCCCGCCTCCCGTTGGAACTTGCTGCAACATAGGATTAACCCTGCCTACCAACGAACCTACATGGTCATGGTTTGCGCATCCATCGTCCTCTGCATAGATACGCTTCCACACGCACGTTAGTTGTAGATGATTTGAAGGCAAACTCCGGGATTGAATTAGAGTTATCAGCAGACTTATGTAGGTGAGGTGTAGCGCTTACGTCAATAGGCGGAACGGCCTAAAAGTGGGAAGGAAAGCAAGAGAAATTTCCTAAGAACGCTGAAACTAAGGTCTTACCCTGCGACGAAGCTGGAGTGATCTAGGTAGTGACAGACCTTGCAATTTCCCCAGTGGTATCGCTCCCCTAGTCGGGCCAATCCCGGTGTTTGCCTTTAAGTTCATCGATAGAGCCGATCCGCAGAATGGGGTGAGCTTTGGTTTTGACTTGTTTTTGTTTGTCAACTGCTGTTTTTGACTTCCGCAGATTCGCCTTGGATGTTTCACAAGAATTGCGGAGGTTGTGAGCCAAAAACTTTCGCCCCAGGCGGGATTATGCTGAAGCAACGCACCCGACATCCATTATCGGGCTTTCCGGCAAGTGCCGCGCTACCAGTTACGCTTACCGGGGCGTCCCTGGCACCATTTTGTACATACCCACTTACACAACATATTCTAACTTGGATGTACATGAGCTCATAAGGGTTGTTTTCAGCGACATCAATCGTATAACGCGTGATTGAGCTTGTCAGCTCGGATCGGCAAGCGCGCCGGACAAGAGAACAGACCGGCTGGAAAAAAAGCATTTAGTAGGCAATTGATGATTTGACTTGTGATATGTTTGTCATACTTATATTGCACATGAGTTATAGGAGGCCGGCAGGCGCCTTGGAATGTGAGGGCGAACAGAGAATGCTGTGATGGTTGGGTTGTGAACAAAACTTTCGCCCCAGGCGGGACTAGAACCCGCACCTCTCGCTTTCCGGGCAAGTGCGCTACCAGTTACGCTACCGGGGCACCATTTCATTCCAACTCAGCTTTTCATGGTATACGTACCATAGCTTTCAGCACTCACACGTATAACGTGTTGAGCCGGTAGTTGTGTTGCTTCCCTTGCCGTGCTCTTCCATCTTTCAAAATTCCATTACGACACGCACAGCAGTGTGCTGCGGACAAAGTGACGCAGGAGCTGCCAGTAGGTTTACCTGAGTGGACTGAGAAATAACGTAACTTTTTAGCGCACAAAATAGCGCGACAAAATTATACACGCATTATTTATCCTACGCGGCCTCGGTTGCAGGTCGATACCGGCTGCTGACTTCGTGCACGTTCAAACAACTTCCACCTTCCGCAATAATAAAAGCTCCAACGGTCCTCAGCACTTCATCGTCCGTCAAGAATAACACTGGAGACTGCATGAGGATGTGCTACGAAGATCCATCCTGTGTTTACGTCATCGCCTACAAGGTTTTTTGTTATTATTCCTTTTTTGCGAAAGGCTTCAAAATATCGCTTCCCCAAGAGGCCCACATGCAGGACTTTGCAGTCACTGCCAATTTTCGTCAGCTCCTATGCCAGGGGCTGCTCCTTTGACCGAATCAAAAAGCACATGGATGCTAAAGAATGGAAATATTGGCCAGTGTAAAAGCTGTTTATGCGTCGAGCATTACCAGGCAGAGACATAAAATGCATTCGTACCATCAGCGGGAAGCGGTCCACGATGTTATCCGCAGGATGCCGTCTTCAGTGCATTTAGGAAAGAAGACAGGCGTTCCTCAAAGACACCCGCTTCAAATACAGGTATTGCGGCTGAAGACTGTGCAGCTTTCGGGGGACCCACTCATTTTTTCTCAATTACCTTCGAAAGCATAAGGCATCAGAGAGTTAGTCACGGACGACGTAAATACGAACCGGAACATGCATTCAAAGTAGACATTCTGACTCTCATTGGTGTACATGCGTGTGAGAACCAAGAAACCCTGAAACGTTTTCACATTTCCGCCTGCCATGACCCAAGGGAACGGTCCTGGACCAGGAGAAAGGACACCTCCGCAAAGGGCTAAGGGTGCAGGAGCTCCAGGGTGGATCACCTGTGCAGAAAAGTGGATGGGATGTGGGCAGGTAGTGTGGAATGTAGGACATCCACCGGTCCTTATCAAAAGTACGCTCGAAATGAGTCGTTCACTTATTATCTTATCCGTAGTGTTCGATAGCCCAAAGAACTGCTCTCTAGTACTACGGATAAGATAGCAATGGAGTGCCCCCCCCCGAACTGGAGTTTCACCTAGATTTCAGAGACACCGCATCATTCAGAAGAGCGCTATTCGGTTTCCCCTGCAACAACTTTGATGGTCCCCTTTAGAACCTCTCAAGGGTGCTCAAATTATGCTGGCAATAAAACTTCCTTGTTATATTAAGAAGTCCCAGCAGCCAAGCATTTGATCTAGGTAAAGTCGCTCTTTCAAAATAATTCTTTTCAATGTCAATTCAAACATCTGAATTGTTACCATGTGCGACTCTCAGTGAATCTTGGCATGAATCGTAGAGAATATGTCAGTACCAGTTTGGTCCCCGGCAATCGCTGGACCCTCCCTTTCCCGCGAAGCTGGCCTCTCTCCGGCTGCCACTGCAGCACCTCGTGAAATGACTGGAAGTGTACTACTTAGATGTTTATATAGCCGTTGAGGTTTAGCACTCGTGTTGCAATAATACCTCAACACCGGATCGAATCGTACCTTTGAAGCGGTGCACTCCCTCTCCCCTTCCTCCCTCCCCTTTCTCACCCCCGCCCATCCCCTTTCTTCCCCTCCCGCTCATCCGGCTGCCACGGCAGCACCATGTAGAATGAGACTGAGTGTGCTCGATCGGTGTTTATATAGCCGCTGTGGGTGTTATCATGATCATGACATCAACATCACGAAGTGTTGCCCTTCGTACTCCCTGGTTTTGTGAGCGGTTGGTCCGGACGGACAGAACGACACACACACACCGACAAACCGACACACCAAAGTTCTGGTTTATATAATGAAGTGATAGTGGATAAGCTCCAACCAAGATTGATAACAACTTTTATTTGGTTACGCTTTCGCCTTCTTCAGAGCCTAGAAAAAGGATGAATTGATAGAATTTTGACAGCTTTTGCATGTTTATCTCTTTTCTCCTTTGAAAGGCATGACACTAGTAAGTAATCCTTTTTTAAGAATGGCATATGCTCGTTTAATCCAAACGAAGGCAATACCATGCGTGTCGATGCGGTGGTTGGCGGTGGAGGCGTGACTGGAGACGTTTTTCAACTGGATCGAGATACGACCGACATGAAGTGCCCAAAACTGGGACAGTGGTTGGAGGAGAACCGTTAGGTCAACGGTTGCTAATTGAAACCGACTGTGCTAATTTTCATCTTGCTGACAGTACCAGTCAGCAGTCATTTTCCTGTTGTTGCACCGATTTGCTTGGAAATTCAGTAGTTCTCTATTGCTTTCGCCAAAGCATTCGTGCCGAATAAAGACGTTGAGATGCATTGTTTTTTCACAAGTTCATTTTGAGATCGAGTAATTTAGTAGGAATAACCGAAAAATACCGAAGCTGCTATGCGGTAAACAATTCTTTATTCATCGACTGACTGAACTCTCTCCATCATAAATAGTCTGAAATTACTCGATTTAAATGTGGAAAGGATGAAACCATAAAAGTACAGTCGTGAAAGGAACTCCAGTACGTCTTCTCAGCTATGAGGCG